CTTGTGGGTGACATTTGCATTTCCACCAGCAATGAAGGAGAGCCCCTATTTCCCTATAATCTTTCTAATAGCAGATGTTGTCAGACTTTTAGGTTTTTATGAACCAGAGCGGTAAAAAATGCCACTTCAGTGTACTGTAGGTTTGTTTGCTTTTTTTTTAACTGGCTTTATTGAGATAAATGACAAAATAAATGGTAAATGTTTAAAGTGTACATACACACAGAGTCATGTGCTGCATAATGACGTTTGTGGTCAACAACCGAGTACATGTGCAACGATTGTCCCTTAAGATTATAATGGAGCTGAAAAATTCCTATTGTCTAGAGATGTCGTAGCCACTCTCATGTCATAGGACAAGGCATTATTCACGTAGGAGCCATAGGCTATATAACATATAACCTAGTGTGTAGTAGGCTATACCATCTAGGTTTGTGTAAGTACACTCTATGATGTTTGTGCAACAAAATCACCTAATAGCACATTTCTCAGAATGTGTCCCCATGGTTAAGTGATGCACACGTGTGTGTGTGTGGGAAACCTCCACAGTCAAGATAATAAACAGATTCATACTGGCCAGCTGCCAAAAAACAGACAGACAGACAGACAAAAAGATAATAAACAAATCCATCACCCCAGAAGTTTCTTTGTGCCCCTTTGTAATCCGTTTTTCCCTGCCTCCCTCAGAACTGACCTGCTTTGTCACTGAGATCATTTGAAATTTTTTTTTTTTTTTTAAAAAGATGACCGGTAAGGGGATCTTAACCCTTGACTCGGTGGTGTCAGCACCACGCTCAGCCAGTGAGCAACTGGCCATCCCTATGTGGGATCCAAACCTTTGGCCTTGGTGTTATCAGCACCGCACTCTCCCGAGTGAGCCACAGGGCCGGCCCAAGATCATATGAATTTTTAAGAACTTTTACGTAAATGGAATGGTACAGTTTGTACTCTTGTTTTTGTCTGAGTTTTTCCATTCAGCATTATTTTGAGGTTTATCCATGTTGTGTGTATGTTAGTAGGTATTTTTCACTTCTGAGCAGTACTCCATTTTATGGGTGTAGTGGATTGAAATATGTCCCCACCAAACTCACTGAAGTTTGAATTGTGTCCCCCAAGTTTTGTGCATTAGAAACTTGGCCCCGACTGTGACTGTTACGAGGGTGGGAAATCCTAGGTGGGAAATCCTATTACGGTAATTGAAAAGTGGAGCCTTGAAGAGGTGATTGGGATTGTAGGATTGTGTAGTGGTCAGGGGCGTGGTTCTGAGGGCTTTAAAAGGAGAGAGGAGAGTCTGTCTCTCTCTGCTGTCTGCTTCCACCATCTTGCAGTGTGAGAACTCTGGGTCACTGTCGCCACCATCAGATGTGTTCCTGATCTTTGGACTTCCCAGCCTCAGAAACTATAAGCAATAAATTTTTTCTGTATAGAATACCCAGTTCTGTGTATTTTGTTATAAGCAACAGAAACCCACTAATTCAGTGGGTAAGCCACAATTTGTTCATCTGTTCACCTGTTGGGGGCATTTAGATGGTTTCCAGTTTGGGGTAATTAAAAATAAAGCTGTCATGAACATTCAAGTACAATCTTTGTATTGACATATGTTTTCATTTTTCTTGAGTAAATATCTACCCTTTGAGGTAGCTAGGGTCCTAAGTGCCCGAAGTGTGTGTACACACATCCCCTTAAGCATTTGGATTGATTCCTTATCCTCTGGGATGAACATGGCTTTGAGCAGGACCAGGTTTTGCATGAGACCCGGGGCAGGGCCCCTTGCTGTGGGTTGAGCTTGGTATTACAGCTTCATTGAGTACGTACCAGTTTGTAGACACAGGGAATGCTGAGTTGTTTTTTTTTTTAATAAAGAGCAATGGTTCATTCTTTGTGAAGTTTATATTCTGGGAGGTGAGAGAGATGAGCAAAGAGACAGTCTCAGTGCTGGGTGACACATGTGTGAAGCAGGGGTGACTGGGGACTGTGCATCGGAGGGGCGCTGGACCAGTGTCCTACTCCACATCTTTTTTTTAATCTTTCTTTTTTTATTTATTTGTTTATTTTCTTAGCTCCCACCGATGAGTAAGGTCATGTGGTATTTCTCTTTCTGCGCCTGGCTTATTTCACTTAACATGATTTTCTCTAAGTTCATCCATGTCGCTGCAAATGGCAGTATTTACTTCTTTTTTTTTTTTATGGCTGGGTAGTATCTCATCGCTGCTTCACTTCTTAAGGTGATTGCTTAGCCAGCCAGCCTTGCTGAGCATCTGTGCACTGCCCAGGAGTGGCTGTGTTTTTGCAGGGGCCACTGATAGCATGATGAATAGATCTTCCCAGATCTCTTTGAGTGGAGCACCCGGATGAGGAAACCAGCACTTCTGATGCAGCGATGGCTGCTGGGGTGGAAGGAGGGTTCAGATGTAAGTCTCATGGGGGCGGCAACCATGGTCTGTTTTGTTCACCACCGTCTTCCTGTAACATTGCCTGGTGCGAACTGGCACCCAATACATTTTTGCTGAGTGTGAGAAGTAACGTGGACTGGATGGTAGTGTTAGAGATGACTTGCTTAGAGGAGGGGACCCTTGGACTATTATAAAGGGGGAGTGGCATCCAGGTGGCTCGGGATCTCCCAGGTGGCTTCAGAAGGCTGGTAGGGAAGGGCAAGGATGAGGGTGGGGGGGAGGAAGATGAGGCTGGACAGGCAGGTGTGCTCCTTGTAAACTCTGCTAAGGAGTCTAAACATCAGTATTTGAACTTCTTGGGAAGCCACTGATGAAGAGTGACATGCTCAGGTGTGTATTTTTAGAGAACTCCGTCTGGCTGCCTGGAGGGATGTGCAGGAGGGACTGGATTGGGGTTGACGGGGAAAGCAGAGAGGAGGTGGTTGAAGGGAACTTGGAACTAGGACAGAAACCCCGGGCAGGGCTTGGACAGATTTTTGGTAACTATAAAATATAATGGTGATGGTGGAAAGAAGGGCAGCAGAGCCAAGGAACTTTGGAGACGGTGAAACCTCCCTGCAGAAGTGTGCGTTGATGGGGCGCTGGGTGACTGACTGAGGGTGCGGCTGGGAGGCTTGGGGGAAGCCCCAGCCCCTCTCCAGGGTTAAGAAAATGTTTGCATGAGCAGTCTGTCTCTTTCTTCTTCTTAAAAACTCAGTGCAAACAGACAGGGATGTCAATAAGGAGAGATTTTACCAAAAATGCCATATTATTAAAACCCAGTTTATTACTGTAAAGTTGAGGTACGGAGCACTGAGCTGGCCTGGAGGTCTTGTTTTCATCTCTGTTAGTGCCCTGTGTGGCCTCGGACAAGTCCCCTGCTCTTGGCCTCCAAAGGCCCTTCTGTCTGTGACTCCACGCAGTGGTTCTGGGTGGCAGAGCCTATTATGGTCACGCTTCTCAGGCATAAGTCTTAAGTGCGTAATGGTAAGGATTTTTTTTAATGGGGGAGGGCTTGTTTAATTTAATTTAATTTTTTTTTTTAAAAAGATGACCGGTAAGGGGATCTTAACCCTTGACTTGGTGTTGTCAGCACCACGCTTAGCCAGTGAGCAAACCGGCCATCCCTACATAGGATCCGAACCCGGGGCCTTGGTGTTATCAACACCGCACTCTCCCGAGTGTGCCACGGGGCCGGCCCTAATTTTATTTTTTTTATGGTGATAAAATACTTCATTCTATTATAATTAATTCACTATATCAACCATCTCTGCCTTTTTTTGGTATTAATTTTGTAATGATCTTTGCATAACTCTGTCTACATTTTTGGTTATCCTGGAGTGGCAATCCCTGAGTGGAATTACTGGTTCAAAGAATATAAACATATTTAAAGCTGTCGGTACATATTGCTAAATTGTTTTCCAATGAGGTTGCAAGAAAGTGTCTTTCAGTGCTTTTAGGAAACTTTGTCCACTTACCTGGCACCATGAAGATGATGCCTGATTGTTCTACTGTGCATTTCTTCATTCCCGGTGAGAGTGCACACACTTTCAGTTGTGTACCAGCTGTGTGTAGTTCCGTTTTTGTGATGTGCCTGATCCCGGCTTTTGTTCCTGCATCCCCAGGGGTGGGCCGCAGCTTGCACAACTCTGGGGGGCGCCCTTCACACTGCATGTGCTGGAGCTCAGCTCCATGTGAAAGGGGTCCCTGCAGTTGGGCTCAGTTGGCTGGGCTTCTTGGTGCACTGACTTTTTGGCAAAGTCTCCAGAACTTAAATAAATGTGTGCTGTTCTTTTCCAACATGTGCTTAGGGGACTGCCCAGTGATTCCAAAAAGCCTGTGGGACCCGAGAATTTCAGCAACACTCCTGTGGGAACTGAGTTCAGAAGGAGGAGCCTGCCTTGCTCATCCCTTCCAAGGGGCAAACTTTCTCTGAGGGTAGATTGGCTTTTTTTTTTTTTTTTAAAGATGACCGGTAAGGGGATCTTAACCCTTGACTTGGTGTTGTCAGCACCGTGCTCTCCAAGTGAGCTAACCGGCCATCCCTA